TAAAGAATTGCTTCGCTTGGCCGAAAGTGGTGAACTGCCGATGAGAAAACATTCGTTGTCCAGCAGTTTGTAAAAAAACAAAATGATCGTATTTACTTGCCAAAGAGGTCAGCTGAAAATATGCATCTTCGGTTGGCCACCAGAACTCAAGCGCCGGCCATGGTGATGGTGTGGTCCGCCATAACAGCCGATTATCGCTCTCCGCTCGCATTAATCGACCGTGACATCAGAATAAATTCCGAATATTATCGGGAAAATATCCTGGAGGGTGTGTTAAAGCCTTGGGCACGCAATCATTTTGTCCGCAGACCTTGGACATTCCAACTGGACTCAGCACCATCGCACTTAGCACGCGCCACCCAAGAATGGGTTCAAAATGACGTTCCTCGCTTCATTTCCAGCGCTCGCTTCATGGCCACCAAAATCTCCGGATACCAATCCGTTTGACGATTGTGTCTGGAGTATTTTGGAAAGCAAGGTTCGCACTAAAAAATACTAAAGTATCGATCACCTTAAGCAAGCGCTTCCCCGAGAATGGGCTAAAATACCGCAGAGCAACATTCGGTCAGCGTGTGACGTTTCCATTGGCCGTTTGAAGGCCATAAGAAAAAAACCGGTAAAGAAAGTCCTAAAGTCGGCCGCGGCCGACTTTATGATACCCTACACCACTTTGCTAATTTAGTAGAGCTGCGCATAACAATTAAAAGTTTTTATGAGAGAATTCAATCATACACGCTATGATTATAATTATAATGTAAAGTTCAAAGGACTAAATATGCCGAAACATTTGTATCTTTTAAATTCGGACTTGTTTTGCCCATTTGGTGCAAAATTAATTTGAAATCGGATAAAAATATATATGGGAGCTATAGCCAAATCGGAACCGATCTCGTTAAAATTTGGCAAAGATATTTCTGAGCTGTATTTTATATATTTCCCTGAATATCGTGGGTATGCACTCGTTGGAGTGTATTTTACGGCTGTGGGTAACAAATATAACAAATCGGATGAACAGTATATATGGGAGCTATAGCTATATCTGAACCGATCTTCACCAAATTTGACATACTACCTTCTCGGTCTCAATTCGGTCGTAAGTGCCAAATTTCATCCAATTTGGCCAAATATTAGACGTTTGGTGCACAATCAAAGGTAAATCGGACGAAGTTATATATGGGAGCTATATCCAAATCTGAACCGATCTCGATTAAAGTTAGCAAATGTATTTCTGAGCTGTATTTGATATATTTTCCCAAATATTGTTGTTACAGAGTGCATATTACGGCTGCGGAGGACAAAAATAGCAAATCGGATGAACAATATATATGGGAGCTATAGCTATATCTGAACCGATTTCGATCAAATTTGGCATACTTATTTTCAGGTCCAATCTGATCGTACGTGCAAAATTCCATACAATTCGGACTGATATTACACGTTTGGTGCACAATAAAAGGCAAATCGGAGGAAGATATATATGGGAGCTATATCTAAATTTTTACCGATTATCTCCAATTTCAATAGGGTTCGTCCTTGGGCCAAACAAATGTTGTTTGGAAAATTTCATCTCAATCGGATAATAAATGCGACCTGCATTTTGTTCACAAAAATACATGGACAGACGGACGGACGGGCGGACTGACATGCATAAATCAACTCAGAAAGTGATTTTAAGCAGATCATCAAAAGGAACTATGGGTCTATCTCGTTTCCTTTTGCCTGTTACAAACAAATGCACAAAGACATAATACCCTGACCACCTTGTGGTGCAGGGTATAATAAAATTATGGCGTTTGACTTTGTTGCAGTTTTTTTTTTTATCTCACCCTGTAATGTGACAGAAACCTTCCTTCAGAGTATTTTTATTATATAATAACAACGATATATTTATTGAAGTAAAGTTATGTTTAGAAATTATTCAGCTCTTATTTTATGGACCATTTTCTACGATTTGAATATTGTTTAAAAAAATGTGGGTTGGGTCACAAGAAGGTTGTTTCCTGGCCTGAAATTGGCCAAATTACAACAAAATGTATTGGGAATTTGTCCAAGCTACTTAAAATCTTCAAATTAGAAAGAATCTTGTATAAGGTGATAACAATAATTACCATAAGTTGGGTTGGAGCTATGATAGCAATGCATTTTGCTACTAGATCCAATGGAGAATATCTTAAGCCACACGGACAAAAATTCGGTGAGAATACAAAAAATCGGGCTCAACCGGGATTTGAACCCGGGACCTCTCGCACCCAAAGCGAGAATCATACCCCTAGACCATTGAGCCTCATAACGGGATGTGTACCACACGATTTATGAAAATACTGAAGTTAAAGCAAAATATTTCATCTGGATATTTCTATAGATAAATATTACTGCAGCATCCAGATAAGGTATAAACATTTGTTTTTTTTTTTTTTTTTGAGATTTCTTATTAGTTGTGATTGTATGAACAAAAACTGACGGTCTACACAATGTTTTTAAATTTATTGTGAAACAATGAATGAAAGTTATTACGACAATTTATCTTATTGATTCGCCATGATTGTGTTTGAGTGAGTTAAAATAATTTAATTTCTTCCGACGTGAGGCTCAATGGTCTAGGGGTATGATTCTCGCTTTGGGTGCGAGAGGTCCCGGGTTCAAATCCCGGTTGAGCCCACCATATTTTACCGTTGGTACCTTAATGCGGTAAGACTAGTTTTCAAGTACGGCCCATAAATTTCAACCAATATGAATGAAGACATATAGCATTGATACAATGTTTCATCATTGGCTTTGATCAGCTCGGTACAGCTGATTGTACAGTAACACTCAATCATGTTCTACTGTTCTAAACTATCCTTCCTTGCATCCTTGCATCCTTGCATCGTACTACTTGTATCATGCTCAGGTCCATACGAAATGTAACGAATTAGAAGAAACTTCACACATCGTAATTTTTGTATCGGGCATATAGTCTATAGAAATGAATGGTTATCGGTATAAAGATAGATATTCCGGTCCATCCGGTATGTTGAGAAATATAATCCAAATTACATGAATATACAGGGTGAGATAAAAACTGCAACAAAGTCAAACGCAATAATTTTTACATTTTTTTATACCCTCCGCCTTGGAAAGGAGGTTAATATACCCTTTGTCATTCCGTTTGTAACGTGTCTATATATTCGTCGTAGACCCCATAATGTATATATATTCATAATCAGCATAAAATTCTAAGTCGATTTAACTATGGCCTTCTGTCTGTCTGTTGAAATCACAGTAGAGTGCCAAAATTTAGCAGAATAATTTGTATTGTGTCTAGGATGGTTGGTATTGAAAATGACATATATCGGTCCACGTTTTGGTATAGTCCCCATATAACGGTACCTCCCGATATTTGATATTTTGATCATTTGTGCCGCATTTCTTCATGGATTTGTCTAAAAAATGGTATTTGTTGGTCATAGTGGGTTCTATCTCCGGTGGCGAAACATTACATGTATAGGTCCACATTTTGGTATAGCCCCCATATAACGGTACCTCCCGATATTCGGTATTTTGATGATTTTTGCCGAGTTCATTTTTCAATATTTGCCGAATGGAATATTACGATATGTTCAGGTTTTGATCAAGTCGCTTCTTTACTTTTCGAACCACATCTGCTGATGTTGCTGTTTGCTTCCGTCCACTTCCTTGACGTCAGCCTACGCTACCAGTATCACGGAAATGAGATATGGTACAAGACACAAAAGATTTATTCACATTTAAACGCTGGAGTGCTCTAACGATAGCCACTTGTGTTTTACCAGCCAAATTTAAAGAAATAACATTATCACGCTTGAATTCCATCACGAATAACTTTTTATACCCTCCACCATGGTATGGAGGGTATATTAAGTTTGTCATTCCGTTTGTAACACCTCGAAATACACATTTTAGACCCCATATATACTTTATATATTCTTGATCAGCATAAAATTCTATCCGTCTGTCCGTCTGTGGAAATCACTCTAGCTTCCGAACGAATTGAAGTAGATTGATAAAATTTTGCTCAAATATATGTTATGTCAGCAGGACTTTTGGTATTGAAAATGGGCCATGTAGGTCCACGTTTTGGTATAGCCCCCATATAACTGTACCTCCCGATATTCGGTATTTTGATGATTTTAGCGAATTTCCTCACCGGAATTGTTTCAAATTTGGTATTTGAAGTTCATAAAGAATACTACAGTCTAAGACAGAATATTGTCTGTGCAGATCCACGTCTTCGTAGAGCCCCCATATAACGGTTCTATCTTAAAAAGGAGGGTATGTTAACTTGGTCATTCCGTTTGTAACATCCATATGATCAGCATGAAATTCTAAGGTGATTTAACGATGTCCGTCTGTCTGTCACGATACAGTCCACATTATTTGACGTAGAGCTTCAAAATTTGACAGAACAATTAGTAGTATGTGTAGGATGGTTGGTATTAAAAATGAAATATATCGGTATATTTGGTATAGCCGCCATATTCATTAGCGACATTATTCACCAGAATTGCTTCAAATTTGGTATTTAAAGTTCATAACGGATACTACAGCCTATAATATAGGTCCTATATAGGTCCACGTCTTTGCAAAGCCCTCATATAACGGTACCTCCCGATATACGGTATTTTGATGATTTTGGCGAATTTCTTCACCGAAATTGTTTCAAATTTGGTATTTGAAATTCGTAATGGATACTACAGCCTATGACAGAAAATTGTCTGTGCAGGTCCACGTTTTGGTACGGCCCCAATATAATGGGACCTCCCTATATCAGGTATTTTGGCGATTTTAGTTACATTATCATTGATTTTTTTCAATTTGCCGTCGTAGTAATTTTAACGGTTTTTAATTTTTTGAAAATTGCCAAATTCGTTCCAAATTGTGGAGGGTATTCAAGGTTCGGCCTGGTCAAATTTATCGCTTTTTTACTTATTTAATAACTCACCTTGCGTTAACCTTTCATAAAAAATGAAATACAACCAAGATTCCAGCTTTCTTTAGATGTGTGTTTTTATTTTTGAATTTCTTTCTTATCGATTTACATCATGATGTTGTTCAATTAATTTCCAAAAATCTGATGATATACCAAAACAGATATTTCAATTCGATTCTTATCGGATATTTTCGATTTTTGAGACAGAAAATATATGTATTTTAATTTGGATTTTTCCTTTGAGATTTTTCGGTTTATGTTGAAATGAGATTTATTTGATTTGCCAGTACAATTTTGTAGATGTTTGCTGTTGTTATTGGTGTTAACAAAAAACATTAACTTATTCACTAACATTTAAGTCTTTCTATTTTCTATATAAAACTCTTTGTTCATGTTGCTGCTGCTGTGGTTGTTGTTATCGTTTCATTAAATCATTCAGTTTATTTTTGTTTTCTGTTTTTTTTTTTTAATATGATTATTGTTCTGTTTTATTAAATATTTGAATATATGTTTTTAGGTATTTATTAATTTTTTGGGTTTTGGGGATTTTCTGTTAATAATGGGACCGTGTGTGTATATAGTTTTCTATTGAAGTTGTTATATATGTTTGTATGTAGATTTTACTTTTCAAGAATATAAATTTGTATTTTCTATTTATTTTGCTTTATTGTGTCTCCGTATTGTTTTGTAGTATATGCTGCCATTATATATGATTATTTTGTTACATATATAATTTGGTTTTATATGTGGTTTGAGTACACTTTTTATTATTAGTTCTTAATTTTCTTTTACGAAAAATATGTACATTTAATTCATGTTAGAGTTTTGTTTTTAGTTTTCTCAAAGTATTATTGTTTTGGACCATTTATAAGTTTTGGGTACATTTTCTTTTGTTTTCTTCGTGTATATATTGTTTGAGTTTAGCAGTTAATAATTTTTACATACATTTTATGTATTGCGTACTTTATTGAGTACTATCTATATCTAAATGTTTCGTTTTTTCTTTTACTTTCTGAGAATATCCAGGCTATTCTAGGAATCGAATTTCTGTAATATCATTTAAATAAAGTCAGTGCGTTTTTTCAGTGTTTATACTAGACACTCAAAAATTGTTTTGTCTAGATCGATTCATTTACATTTTTAATTTTTTTTTTTTTCTGGGAGGGAAGGAATTTCTGTAATATTGGGAAATTGTTGTTTTTTATTTAATTCTAGATTTTATAGTCCTGGATTTTTTTTGTTTACAAAAAAAGTTAATGGGACATGGTAAGGTTTTCAAAAAATATGCCAATACTTATTTTGCACAAATAAAACTGTACAAAAAATGTTTAATATTTTTTTTCATGTTGAGTTTTGTTTTTAAAGTGTTATTGGTTTTTGTCTTTGTTTTGTAGGTTTGTACGATATGTTTTTCTAATAGTTAAAAAGTTCCTTTACATGAGTGATATATAGATTTTTTACTTTAATATAAATACATATGTAGTCTTTGGCTAAAATATGCATAAATATATTGTATAATGCAAATAATTTACTTTAATGTATTACTTTTTGACAATGGATGCGGGAAATATACAATATATTTTTGGATATATATTAAATAGACATTTCTTCATCAATGGAATTAAGTTCAAAATTTTTTAAAGTGAAAATTGATATTGGAATACATTTCCAAGGACAGTTTTCTACCAGTAACGTCAAAAAATGGGTCTTCGGGGGACAGCGTTGTATAGGGGCCATTCCATGTTGTACATATTATAATTTCAAACTGCAGCCACTTTCGTTGGCAAATATGGCCAGGGCCTTCAAAATCGATCGTTACCCCTAGATAAGGCTCAAATATCCTTATAATACAACATTAAAATATGTTCCTAGGTCTAGGTCAATAAGGACATGCAACAATTGGTTTTTTTATTTTACTTTTTTCACAAAATTACTATATTATGGTTTCTCTACAAAATTGAATCCCAGGCATAGGGACAATGTCGTTTCATTCCAAAATAATACATTTTGTTGCCCGTTAAAGTGGAAAATATGTAGTTTTGTTGCATCTAAATTTGAAATAATTTTTAAATATTTAATTTTTAATTCAAAACAATACACACACATATATACGAGCTGTGTACAGGGTGAGATGAAAAAACTGCAACCAACTTCAGACTGCAATCATTTCTGAGCTACCGACAGATGTTAAAATTATTCAAGTGACAGCTCCATATATTGTTCACAATCGCTTTTTGGTGAGAATTTTCCAGAAAAAAAGTTATTCGTGATGGAATTCAAGCGTGATAGTGTGATTTCTTTATATTTGGCTGGAAAACCATAAGTTGCTATCGTTAGAGCATTCCAGCATTTAAATGTGAATTATTCTTTTGTGTCTCGTACTATCGCTCGTTACCGTGATACTGGTATGGTAGCCCGACGTCAAGGAAGTGGACGGAAGAAAACAACAACATCAGCAGAAATGATTCGAGGAGTAAAGTGTCCGAAAAATGGCTTGTGAGCTGAACATATCACAACATTCCATTCGCCAAATATTGAAAAATGAGCTCGGTGTAAAGCCATTGAAATTCCAAAAAGTGCAAGAACTTACACCGTAACAGAAAGAAAATAGACTCAAAAGAGCTAAAAAGTTCCTTCGCTTAATCGAAAGTGATGAACCGCCGAATTTGGTTTTCTCCGATGAGAAAACATTCGTTGTCCAGCAGTTTGTAAACAAACAAAATGGTAGTGTTTACTTGCCAAAGAGGTCAGCTGAAAATGTGCAACTTCGGTTGGCCACCAGAACTCAAGCGCCGGCCATGAGATGGTGCCGATGGTTGCTCTCCGCTCATATTAATCGACCGTGGCATCAGAATAAATGCCGAATATTATCGTGAGGTTTCTCTCTTCGTTTGCAGCGCAGAATGGCCACCAAAATCTCCAGATACCAATCCGTTGGACTATTGTGTCTGGAGTATTTTGGAAAGCCAGGTTGGCACTAAAAAATACCAATGTGTCGATCACCTCAAGCAAGTGCTTCGCCGGAAATGGGCCGAAATACCGCAGAACAACATTCGGACAGCGTGTGATTGTTTCATTGGCCGTTGGAAGGCCATAATTCGTGCCAAAGGTTGCCAATTGGAACAGATCTAAACTTATTCTAAAATTTGATGCTATTTCCGATATTTTTTGCTTTCATTCAATAAAATTTAAAAAAAAATTAAAAATTATGCAATCTAAACTAAAGCTCTCTTATTTTGGGAGGAACAACAAAATGTTGTATTAGATCCATGGAATAATAAAGATAACAGCAATTGTTGTTGTACAACTAACGTAATAACAAACACATACAAATTTGTTTTTGTAGGTAATACAAGTTTCAGAGTTATAGGGTAGGTGTACCAGTAGTCGGCACTTTTAGGATTTTCGCGTTTTTAATCGCTCACCATTCTGAGTGGAGCTTTTCAATTATTACAAAGTAAATTTATTCAGATTCGAAATTTTGTATAGTTTTTGCAATAACAAATAAATTTTTAAAAACTTTTTATTAAATTTCATAAATTTTTAGTTTTATTAAAACAATGCTTTTTTGCCAGTAGTCGGCACCACTTGCCAATTGTCGGTATGGCATGTTCCAACAGTCGGCATACCAATTTTTTTTGTAAGAATAATTAATAATAATAATAAATTAATTCATTAAAATATAATAGTTTTGTTTAGTTAAACTGATTCGACGTCTTTACTGTACTTTTCTTAAGAATATGGATTGTTGAGGACCTTCACAGACAAAAATTTAATTTTTATTAGAATAATTCATCTTTTATTAGCGAAATTCTACACAAAGATAGCTGACAATATATTTGAAGCAAACAAAATACATTTAGTTGTAAAAGTTTCATTTATTTGGGCTTAAAAATAAAAAGTGCCGACTACTGGGACATGCCGAACTTAGGCACACTTACCCTATGTCCAAAAATGTTTTTATTTTCCCATAAATTATTTTAATTTTAGAAAATTTATCTTTTTTTTAAATGCGAATTTTTTAATTTAAAATGCAGAAAATATTTAATTTTAATGCTTTCATATCATTCTTTTGAATGTATAACTGTTAGCTGTTCCTTTACCGCGAAAAAAAAGTTTCCGCACCATCGCTGTTGGTGTTTTGCAAAGTATGACAGCATTTTTTCTCTTATTAGGTAAAAAAATATTTAAATTTGAACTGCAATGAAATTTTATATAAAAAAGTGTATGCCTATTGTATATCCTGAAATTGAATTAAATCACAAAACGTCATATCGAAATTTGACATTAGTATTACTATATAGGCTAATCAGCTGGGGTTTGCTGCTACCTGTAATTATTATACCATGTATTAAATCCATACAATATTGAAGAATTTCTTCTTTATCCATTGTCATTAGCTAAATAAACTAAATAAATATTAAGGTAGACAAGGCAGAACCTAATATCTAAATATATTTATATAAATATGTGTATATTATTAAAGCAAATATCTGAATCGGCTTCTACATATATAGGCCGTGTATAAGCTCTCTAAATAAAAAAAAAATATAATAATAATTTAACTGGTCAACATGCTAGTCTAAAAAAAACTGGAATATCATTTTTGTTATTAGAATATGTTTCAAAAAACAAAATATTTTCAAAAAATATGATGCCCAATTTACATCTTCATGAAATATTTGTTAACAACACTAAGACACACAAAAACTAAAACTATGAGAACATTACTCGTTATGTTGACGACCAGCAGCTGTACATCCGATATTAGATAGACTATAAATACGTTGAATTAAGTATACATGTGTTTTCATATATAAGTACCGTAAAATATTGTTCTAAATTAAATAAGTCGACAAAAATTGAGATATTAAGTAAGTTAGTATATAATAAAGTTAATATTGAGTATAAGTTGATTAATATCAATACACATAAACATTTATAATTTTCTTGTTATGTGTATGTGTGTGCAAAATGTTGTTATTGTAACAAAAATATATATATTATTATATTCCACAATGATTGGAATATGATAACAATTTAGTTTGTATTAAATTTTATTATTACTGAAAGAAAGAGAAAAATTAAATTGATAAAAGTATTTCAATAATAATAATAATAGGTTAGCCAAAAATATTGTTGAATGCTGTGTTACTGTGTGTGAGTGTGTGTTTATACAATTTTTGGATTATAGACATATTTTGTATATATATTATATATTTCATTTACACTTAATATTTTTTTTTAACATATATGCCATTCAGGGGGTGTTGGGAGTATTTCTAACCATTAGTATTTGAAACACCACACTTTGAGCGTAAAATGGCTGCTAATCTTTGTGTCAGCGGTTCTGTTGGCGATTCCGAATCACTGCAGGATGTTGAGGGAATTTTATTACCTAAAAATACATAAACAAACATTTATAATTTTAATAAGGCTTGGTATTAGTTTTAAAGTCTGACTAGTGAAAAAAGCAAATTATTGGTATTTAAGATATTTTGATAAGATATTTTTCATTTCATATTTTCTGGGGTAACTCAGAAAAATTTGGAAAATATACACAAGGAAACTGTCGTTATTATGATCACCAAGGTTCAATAATCCGACCTAAAATTTGATCAACCAACTTGAAAGTTGGTGGAATTTTACAATATTTCGAGATGTTTATGAAGCTTTATACTTTTTTAAGGTATACAGGTTTATGACATTTTCGACGTATACAACTTTTTGACAGTTGAAAACCTGAAAAACTGTCTGACGGACCATCTATGATACACATATTTCATATAAAGCGATAAAGTAGTCAACATAGTCTGAACCTGGTAAGGTGAGAAATGGACTATATTGGTCCACTTCTTAAGTATCTCCCCCATGAACGGGCGACATTTTGAATATTATCATAACCCAAGACAAAATATATTTAAACAAACGGACATAGGAAAAATCATACAGGGTGAGATAACAAAAAAACTACAATAAAGTCAAAAGCCATATTTTTCCTTTTTTTTTTTAATTTTATTTACTGAAAGCAAAAAATGTCGGAAATAGCATCAAATTTTAGAATAAGTTTAGATTTGTTCGAATTGGTCACCTTTGCCACGAATTATAGCCTTCAAACGGCCAAGGAAACCGTCACACGCTGCCCGAATGTTGCTCTGCGGTATTTCGGTCCATTCCCGGCGAAGCGCTTGCTTGGGGCGATCGACACTTTGGTATTTTTTAGTGCCAACCTTGCTTTCCAAAATGCTCCAGGTACAATAGACCAACGGATTGGTATCCGGAGATTTTGGTGTGCGCTGGAAATGAAGCGAGGAACCTAATTTTGCAACCATTGCGATAGTGCTGAGTCCAAATGCAACCAACTTCAGACTACTGTCATTTCTAAGCCACTCATCCGACAGGTCTTAAAATTATTCCAGTGACAGCTCATTATATTGTTTAAAAGCAAACAAAAGCATTTTTGTGAGAATTTTCTAGAAAAAAAGTTATTCGTGATGGAATTCAAGCGTGATAGTATGATTTCTTTATATTTGGCTGGAAAACCACAAGTGGCTATCATTAGAGCACTCCATTATTTAAATATGAATAAATCTTCTGTGTCTCGTACCATGGCTCGTTACCGAGATACTGGTAGCGTAGCCTGACGTCAAGGAAGTGGACGGAAGAAAACAGCAACATCAGCAGAAATGGTTCGAAAAGTAAAGAAGCGACTGGATTGAAACCCGCGTCGCAGTGGAAGAAAAATGGCTCGTAAGCTGAACATATCGCAATATTCCATTCGGCAAATATGGAAAAATGAGCTCGGGCTAAAGCCATTGAAATTCCAAAAAATGCAAGAAATTACACCGCAACAGAAAGAAAATAGACTCAAAAGAGCTAAAGAGTTGCTTCGTTTGGCCGAAAGTGGTGAACTGCCGAATTTGGTATTCTCCAATGAGAAAACATACGTTGTCCAGCAGTTTGTAAACAAACGAAATGATTGTGTTTAATTGTCAAAGAGGTCAGCTGAAAATGGTTGGCCACCAGAACTCAAGCGCCGGCTATGGTGATGGGTGCCATAACAGCCGATGGTCGCTCTCCTCTCGTATTAATCGATCAAAATAAATGCCGAATATTATCGCGAAAATATTCTGGAGGATGTATTAAAGCCTTGGGCGCGCAAACATTTTGGCCGCAGACCTTGGCCGTTCCAACAGGACTCAAGCACCATCGCACTCAGCACGTGCAACCAAAGAATGGTTACAAAATCAGGTTCCTCGCTTCATTTCCAGCGCACAATAGCCACCAAATCTCCGGATACCAATCCGATGGGCTATTGTGTCTGGAGTATTTTGGAAAGCAAGGTTGGAACTAAAAAATACCAAAGTGTCGTTCACCTCAAGAAAGCGCTTCGCCGGAAATGGGGCAAAATACCACAGAGCAATATTCGGGCAGTTTAATTGGCCGTTTGCAGGCCATAATTCGTCCCAAAGGTGGCCAATTCAAACAAATCTAAACATATTGTAAAATTTGATGTTATTTCCGAAATTTTTTGATTTCATTCATTAAAATTAAAAAAAATGTATATAAAATTATGGCTTTTAACCTTGTTGCAGTTTTTTTTTATCTCACCCTGTACAGATTTCCTTTGTACTGAATTTTATTCCCCAAATTCTCTAAAATGTAATTTTGTTATTTTCAACTTTTCCTGTAACTCAATGAATATTTTAGCACATGTCACCATACACAATTTGTTAACTTATGTATGTGTGTGTTATAAAATGCTTGTTCTAACGCTTGCCATGTTTACAAAATTGAATTTACAATTTTCTTGCAAATGTCAAGTGGAACTCTTGGTAACCCCTGTAACAAATTGTGTGCCACAGGCGGCATTACTACTCACCATTGCTAACATCCAAATCAGGTGTGTTAAAATCCTTGGGAAAGTGTAGATTTGCAGGCACTATATCATCTTCTTCCTCCAGCAATAAACTCGAATACGAGTGTGTCGTATTGTCACTGCGGCTACTAATTTTACCACCACTCGAAGAATTTCGTGATGAATTTGAACCATTTAAAGCTACACCATCAGCACCTTCGCCGCCACATGCATTACCTGAGTTATCTATGTCCAGGACATCGCCCACAATGACCTGATGTTCATCAACGGGCAAATCATCGCCACTGCTGCTCATGATGTCATCGTCATCATCGTCACGGTCATCATCATCGTCGTCGTCAGCATCTTCTCCATCATCCTCGTCGTCATCAGCATCTACGGAATCACTTAGACTAACGCCTACCGAGCCACTGCTTAGAACACCACCTGCACCCTCTTCCTCCTCCTCGTCCACATCATCGTCGTCTTCAATGCTATTGCTGTTGCTGCTCACATTTGAATTGGGATCTAAAATGCCCTCAGCTATACCTAAGTCTGGCAAATGCGGTCGCCGTATATGCTGACGATGTAGCTTTTCCTCACCAGCCAAAGCTTCCTGTTCATCACTTTCTCCCGCCGAAGGATCTGATGATGGGGCTTCCAGTATTAATTCCGGTGAGGAAGATGATTTATTGTAGTTTTCGTCACTGTCACTAGAGGTGGCACCTTTTTTGGTTTGTTGTTGATGTTGTTATTTAATAGAAAGAGAAGCATAAACAAAAAACAAAATCAAAACAAATTTCAAGGCGTTCAATTCATTAGGGTATCTTTTGTATCTCTATACTTGATGGGGTTATCAAAGAAGAATGGTTGTAAAACGTCCTTTTTATTATTTAGACTATTTCGAACCCCATATCTCTTTGGATAAAATCTGCTTCAGGATATTTTTTGTTGCTGTTCTGGAGATGTACGTCAGTCTGCCTGGTGCGAACGATAATTCTCGAAATTGGCATACGATTTGGTCCACACTTGATGCATCGTATTGAGTTCGAAGATCGGTATTACTGGCTCTCTCTTTCCAATATCTCCGTCAGAAGCTAAAAATATCAATAAATAATAATCCCGATATGATTTTGATGCACATGGTAATATTTTTATATCCTCAGCCATATGGCTAGAGAGGGTATATATCATTTGATACGGTCGAAACGTGTCTAGTCGAAATAACGGTTTAAGATCCTAGGTCTCTTTGGAACAAATCAGTTTCAGAGCATTTGGAGTCGATGTAGCGATTCAAAAATTTGAATAATTACAACTCTTATAAAATGTGATGTCTTCAAATTTCACACATCCCAATAATATTATCAACCCAAGGTCTGGCGTTAGGATGAAATATATCGGTCCACTCCTTCTGGTACCTACCCCACAAAAGGTCGAAATTTTCAAAAGTATTTTTTTACACAGAAAGAGAAATGATAATCTGATTTTACTCAAACTTTGCAAATTCTTATATTTGCGTCAGTGCCAGGTCAGGTGCGAAAATGGGCGATATCGATCTAATCCATCAAATACCTCCACCTCCATAACAAAAGATGGAAATTTTCAAAAATATGTATTTTCTGCACAGAAAAAGAAACTATAATCTGATTTTGCTCCAACTTTGCAAATCCTAATATTTGCGTCAGTGCTATGTCAGGTGAAAAAATGGGCAATATCGGTCCACTTCATCAAGTACCTTCCCCACAAAGGGTCAACATTTTGAGTAATTACAACTTATAAAATTTGATGTTGGAGTCCGATTGTTTTCAAATTTCACAAATCCCAATATTTATATTGAACCAAGGTCTGGTGTGAAGATGAAATATATCGGTTCACTCCTTCTGGTAGCTCCCCAACAACCGGTCAAAATTGTAAAAAAATGTGTACAGAAAGGGAAACAATAATCCAACTTTGCTCTAACTTTGCAAATCCTAATATTTGCGTCAGTGCTTGGTGCGAAAATGGACAATATCGGTCTACTCTATCAAGTAACTACCTCACAAAGGGTCAAAATTTTGAATAATTACCACTCTTATAAAATGTGATGTAGGTGTCCGATTGTCTTCAATTTCCCCACATCCTAATATTTTTATGAACCCAAGATCTGGCGTTAAGACGGAATATATCGGTCCACTCCTTCTGGTACTTCCTCCACAAAAGGTTGAAATTTGGAATATCCATTAAGCTCATAAAACGCGAAATTGGCATCATATTCCATTTAGACTTATCACATCTCAATATTTCCATCAATATAAGATCTGTTGTAAAGATTGCACAGATCGGACCGTTTATTTTGCGGCTTGCCCCACATAGGGTTCAAGATTTTGAAAAACAAAGAAGACGAAATAAGCATCTCTTTAAATTTTACACATACAAACATTTTTGCTAAAACAAGATCTGTTTTAAAGTACCCCTTCTGGTACCTCACCGACAAAAGGGTCACAATTTTCAATACATTTATATGCCATATTGCGAAACAACTCAGCGATTCTTTACAACTTGCTATATCCAAATATATGTCTCTCAACCAGAAACCTGAGATGAATATGGAATTTGTGATATCCCATGAATTGGATATAAATTTTCGATTTTCTTATAATTTTCGCCATAACAATATTTTTATCTGTATTATCACATATTTCATATAAAGTGAAGGAGGTAACCAAGACAGTCCAAATATGGAACATCCAAATATTTATATCATATTTATTTAACTCCGATACGAAATGGACAATATTGGGCCATTCCCACTCCGTAGAGAGTCAAGAGTTTGAATATTCATAACAGAAGTCAAAATATTTTTAAATAGTCGAACATTGGCTGAGGGTAATATAATATTAATGTTTTTAATAATACTAATGTTTTTATCAAACTTAGTTGTGGTGAGAACACCTCTGGTACCTCCGTCGAAATTAGTTAAAGCAACACTCAGATATCGTGAAATTTGTTAGCAATTTTGTTCAAGCTTTGCATATCTAAATATTCCGCAAAATTTTATTTATTTACATAATTAATGTTAGTGAAATTTTATTTCAAACCTTCTCATATCTCTCTAACTCTGCTGCAAAAGTATGAAGTGCGAAAATAGACAAAAAGCCAAATTTTCTCGAAAAAAAAAAAAAAAAAAAAAAAACCGGTTTAATTCAATAACTTTCTTGCCAAAGAAATTATGGATGTGAATGGCTCCTTAGAGAAAATCGTTTACATTCTAAGAACATTTACTGATTTTTGTGGATTATTTGTAGTTTAGCGCCTCGTATTTGGAAATTAGTTTTGTGAAAAATTTGACTTTTGCACCAAATTGTCAAAAATAATTCTATGCTTGTCGAATGTGTTATACCCCAATTACAATGGGCAATAATTCTTACTAATTTGATTCGATACACATTCGTACATCCCTATTTGATAACCCCGCTTTTTTACGAAGTACACACATACCACGTAATTTGTCCAATATCAATGGATAGAATTCCTTTGCTGTCGAATTGTGTGGCTCGTACTGCAAAACTGTAACGATGACAAGGTAGAAAGAAGCAGATACAGAAGTAGTAGAGAATTCATTTATTATGTTCAGAAAAATAATAAAAAAGGATAAAATATTTTTTAATTAGAAAGTTTCTCATATTTCTATTTGTCTTGAATATAAATAATGGAATTTTATGCGCTTCCATTTTGTCTTGACATTTTTGGTGAAAGGTACTTACTTAGCTTGCAATATTTTAAAGCTTTTTTGTAATCCTTGAGCATGACTGAAGACAGAAACTGGAATGAGAAAAAATAATATAACATTAAATGGATTTTATTTTTTACTCTAATTAAGAATGGGAGGGATATATTGATTGTTAATCTCTGTATTTATAATCATTCGCAATATATTATTTTAGGGAATAGTTCGATTGTTTTCTGACGGATAGCATACCGTCCGTCCGTCTGTCCATGTTAATTTTTAATCACTCTACAGGTCGCAATTATAGCCCGATCCTAGAAGCCTTTTGGAGATGATCGCATAATAATAATTTTTCTGATGTAGCAGTTGCTCTACAAGTCGCAATAATAGACCAATGGGAGCGAAAGTTAATATGGGGCTAGAACTTAGGGCTGAGCTGAAGCCTTCCAATTTTGATGCACATCGGGTAATGTTTAGTGGGTGAAATAGATCATAATATTTGTATTAAATGAAACTCAAATTTTCCATTAAACCGCGAATATTTTTAATCCATGCGAAATCACAAATAGACGGACAGGTCAATTCTGACCATTACGTAGTTGCCAATAGTAAATATATCAGATGTTTATAGCGAAATATATACAATTTATATATACGAAGGAAAGGGATGTTAGCTAGAATGCTTATATCTCAAGAATGGCTGGACCGATTTTGACAAAGTTTGTCAATTTAGAATACCCTCTTGGCATAAAAATATAAAATCTAAAAAAAATCGCATAAAAACATGTCAATAATGATGTTAATATAGATTTTGCAGTATTTTGTGAAATTTTCTTATTTTTTAAGATTATTTATCGATTTGACTTATAATATTGAAGGGTATATTTTGTAATATTTTCTTCACCTTATAACACAGGTTGGGGTTATTATATACTGATTGCAATTATCGTCCGATCCTCACGAAAATTTTCACAAGGGTAGGGTTAGGCTCAGAAGGGCTAGGCACATTGTTTTCAAAGATGTTCGAAATATATTTAGGGATTGAAATGGACCAACAACTAAAAATGTTCCTGATTTTGCAGCCGTTATAAAGATCACAAATAGAAACCAGCGGACACGAAATCTCGTTAAGTTAGAGAACAGCGGGTAGACGAATATAGTCAAATATCGTAGACAAGCAAATGAGACTAAATTTGGAGGGGCCTCTTGCTTTTGGAGATGATCGAAAAATATTTAAAGGTTTAAATGAACCAAAAACCGAAAAAAATTCTGGTCACACAATTGAAGCCAATCGACGCGCCTGAAAAGAGAGTTAAGGACAGGGAAGAATTCTAGCTTTTTGGATGACCATTGCATTATATTTAGCTGTAAAATGGACCACAACAACTAGTAGCATGACGGAGTGCGCAAATATTTTGCAAATGTCCCTGGCCAAAATGCTAAGGGTGATATCTGGGCAGTGCTCCGTGACATCATTTCAGAAGCGAAATCTTCCAAAATGGATTTGGCTTCTACCACATTATAGTGTTGTAGGGTATCGCATGGTCGGCCCCTCACGACTATAGCCTTTGCTTACTTGTTTTTTTTAAGTTAAACAATTACAACAGCAAATAGATTTTTACTCAGTCATTGCTCTCTGCAGAAAAAAAGCGTACGTAGAAATATGATTTTCCTGTTTGTTTAAATAATTTTACATGAAAAAGAAAATGATTTCCATTGGTCTACCGCAAAACTTTTCCTCTTCATAACATTTTTCCTTAAGAGGTTATTAAACAAAAAGTTTGTTTTGTTGATGTAAAGAGGTATTATGAAGGGTTCTGTGAACATGAAATCAATCAGATAGCAAAGCTGAGGAGATTCTAAACAAACGCTTTAATGTAATATTACGTGGTTTTTGAGAAAAATCAATTTAAAGAAAATATCTGTGAAAGGTAACCTTCCTGACTCATAAAAAGATTTGAATATCAGTAGTAACTTAATATTATAGGATTTGTTGGAGTTGTATTTCTGGTTCAAAGATATGTCTTTGTGATATTGCTTTCCCAAATGGAAACTCTTTAAGTGGCTTTATCTCTAGGTCTATATTTTTACAAATTTTCGTTTATTTATATTTCTTTTGATGTTATTTTTGAGTTGAAGTGTACAAAGTGCAACCAATTTCAGACTGCTGTCATTTCTAAGACACCCGTCCGACAGCTGTTAAAATTATTCCAGTGACAGCTCATTATATTGTTTACAAGCGTACTAAAGCTTTTTGGTGAGAATTCTCCAGAAAAAAAGTTATTCCTGATGGAATTCAAGCGTGATAGTGTAATTTCTTTATATTTAGCTGGAAAAGCACAAGTGGCTATCGTTAGAGCACTCCAGCATTTAAATGTTAATAAATCTTTTGTGTGAACATATCGCAATATTCCATTCGGAAAATATTGAAAAATGGGCTCGGGGTAAAGCCATTGAAATTCCAAAAAGTGCAAAAACTTACACCGCAACTAGAAGAAAATAGACTCAAAAGAGCCAAAGAGTTGCTTCGCTTGGCCGAAAGACGTGAACTACCGAATTCGGGTTTCTCCAATGAGAAAACATTCTTTGTCCAGCAGTTTGTAAACAAACAAAATGATCGTGTTTACTTGCCAAAGAGGTCTGCTGAAAATGTGTACTTTCGGTTGACCACCAGAACTCAAGCGTCAGCCATGGTGATGGTGTGGGCCGCCATAACAGCCAATGGTCGCTCTCCGCTCGTATTAATCGACCGTGGCATCAGTATACTCACTCAGCACGCGATACCCAAGAATGGTTACAAAATGAGGTTCCTCGCTTCATTTCCAGCACACAATGGCCACCAAAATCTCCGGATACCAATCCGTTGGACTGTTGTGTCTGGAGTTTTTTGGAAAGCAAGGTTGGCACCAAAGTTTCGATCACGTCAAAATACCTTAGAGCAACATTCGGGCAGTGTGTGACGGTTTCATTGGCCGTTTGAAGTCCATTATTTGTGCCAAAGATGACCAATTCTAAATTTTTCTTCTATTCAGGAAAAATTAAAAAAAGTGAAAATTGTTGCTGTTTTTTCATCTCACCCTGTATATACTCTTGATCAGCATAAAATTCTATGTAGATTTAGCGATGTCCGTCCGTCTATCCGTCTGTGGAAATCACTCTAGCTTCCGAACGAGATGAAGTAGGTTGGTAAAATTTTACTCAAATCTATATTGAGTCTGCAGGACTTTTAGTATTGAAAATGGGCTAGGTAGGTCCACGTTTTGATATATCCCCATATAGTACCTCCCTATTTTCAGTATGTTGGTTATTGAAGCTACATTATTCACCGTAAATGTTTAAAATTTGGTATTTGGAGTTCGTAATGGTTACTACAGCCTAAGACTGAAAATTGTCTGTGCAGGTCCAGGCCTTCGTATAGCTCCCATATGACGGTACCTCCCGATATTCGGTATTTGGATGATTTTACCAATATTATTCACCGGAATTGTTTCAAATTTGGTATTTGAAGTTCGTAATGGACACTACTGCCTAATACCTGCGTTTATTATTAATTTTTTTTTTCAAGTTTCGTATTTGATTATTGTAATGGCTTATGACAAAAGTTGCCTCTGCTGGTCCACGCCGTCGTATAGATCATAATATAACGGCTACATTTAGTATTCTTAAGATTTAACAATATTTTTAACGGATTTTATTTTTGTTTTTGCAAAATTGCCAAATTCGTTCCAAATGGTACCCTGCACCAAAGTTCGACCCGGCCGAACTTACAGTTTTTTTACTTGTGTGTCTTACCTCGGCTAAGAATTCTGTCGGTGCTGATATGCTTTCATCGGCATCCGTGTATTCGGAAAGACTTTGACTGAGATCTTCATTTGATAGTGATGTGGGCAGCTGGGGAGGAATGACTCCATTGGCACATGCAGCCGTGCCGGCTGCATTTGAAGCTGCTGCCATTAAATTGTGGATATTGTTGCCACTGCCACTACTACTGTTGTTATTGTTGTTATTATTATTGTTGTAATTATTGCTCTTGTTATTCGAAGTGGGTGGTGTATTGTTCGAGTTGTTGTTGCTATTGCTGTTGTGATTGTTGTTACCACGTCCAATGTTGTTGCTGCTGTTGTTGTTATTATTGATATTTGTATTGTTGATTAAAATTGCTGTCGCAGACGTTGCATACACACCATTGCCATTCGATTCATCCATGAAAAGTAACTTTGTTTTTGTCGTTGTTTGTTGGGTTTGAGCATTTTTCGAAAAAATAAAAGAGAAAAATAACGAAGAGTTATTTTTAATTAATTTTTCTGTAAGAAATCCAATTATCCTCACAGCGTTTGTTCGTTCAACCATGAGGAACACCTTCTATACTTACATTCGACATGTTTTCTTCGATCTGCTGCTGCTTTCTTTGGGTACATATATCTAAATATGTGTGTATGCGTTCTTTGATGTGCGTGTGTGTGAGTTCGCCTTAAAGTTGTCAACACTTCTTGTAAATTGATTTTTATATTTTATTTCTCGCTCACTTGGTCTTGGTTCCAATTCGAATCCAAGCGTATCGCAGGTGTATCCTCAAGTGTTTACAGCTTTTTAAATCTCCGAACTTACTTTAAGATTTATTATTAGTAATTTTTGTGTTGTTGTGCTTTCTCGTTTCATTTCATTTTGCCTTTTATTGCATTTCCTCATTTTTCTCTTTGATGTCCACTTTTTGTTTGTCCTACTCCTCCTCGTCGTCCACTAGAGTTCCAAGTCAAATGGATTCTGGTTAAAAGTTCGTAAATGTGCTTCTCTTATTTGTGTTGAAATTGCTTTGGGGGTTTTAAAGGTTATTTATTTTTGTAAGACTGTTTTGCTGTAGATAATGTCAGTTCTTACGTCTGGACAGATACGAGTTTCATTAGATTGTCTGGAAAGTATGAAAATGAAGAAAAAAAGTGGAATAAGTAGTTTTTCATGGTTATTTCCAAATGGTTTTAAATTTAAGGTCAACGGTTTAGACATGAAATTGGGCACTTAATATTTGTTTGTGCAATAGAAATATAAGATCCTATGATAAGCTTTAAAATTTAAGATTTAAAACGAAGATGTAAGTAAAATTGTATTATAGCTGATGCACACAAAATGTGGATAGAAGTAGTTTAGAAGACTGACAAAAGTAATTTTTGAAACCTTATTGCTTTATAGAAAATTAGCGTGAAACAAAACTCCTTGTAGGTTGAACATGAGTAGAGAACGCCCAAACTTTGACATATAAATGGTATGGATTGTTTAATCCAATGTATGCCCCGGAGTATCTTCAGAGCCAATTTGTTGCCTCCATACTTTGTCAAAAAGTATTTAAAAATGTTACAATAATTCCACAAAAATCTGGGAATTCCTTTAGAATATTAAAAAAAGCCAGAAGATGTCCCAAGAGCACTAAGTTTCACCTTTGGCAAGAATTACGACCTTTAAACGGAAAATGAAACCGTCACACGTTACCCGAATGTTGCTCTGCATTATTTTGGCCCATTCCCGACGAAGTTTTCTTGAGGTGATCGACATTTTCGTATTTTGTAGTGCCAACCTTTCTTTCCAAAATACTCTAGACTCAATAGTCCAACTGATTGGTATCCGGAGATTTTGGTGGCCATTGTGCGTTGGAAATGAAGCGAGGAACCTCATTGTGTAACCATTTTTGGGTGGCGCGTGCTGAGTGCGATGGTGCTGAGTCCTGTTGGAATGTCCAAGGTCTGTGGCCAAAATGTTTGCGGGCCCAGGACTTTAATACACCCTCCAGAAAATTTTCGCGATAATATTTGACATTTATTTTGATGCCACGGTCGATTAATACGAGCGAAGAGCGACCATCGGCTATTGTGGCAGCCCACACCATTAAAATTTATTTGAACTAAAATTTTAAATTTTCCGAATAGGACCCATCTTGATCTTGACCACATTCATCAATTGATGTGGCTTAAAAATTGTATTTAGGCTACCCTGGGCTAGAGAACCATCTTACAAATAATTGTCCACATAGGCATTTATTTGAGTATTAGGCATTTATTTAGTACATTGCGAGTAGTGTACCATCAAGTCCACTTTCCCAATGTGTGGTCAGAAAAGAATATTGTGTATTCTATTGAATTTGAAACCCCCGAGAGAATATTGGTTGGGAATGTAGATTTGGGATGATATGAAATAAATTCCGAAATGTCAAACTTGGACTCATTCAGTCGGAAATTGTGGTAGAAACATAAAAACAATTACGGACGGACCCATGTTTTTTTTGGGCCCATTCCAATCGACGAGGCTTGTCTGCAGGCAACATTCTTTGCGTCAATTGAATTTTGTACGGGAACAAATGCAAATCAATGCGAATAATCCGTTGTAAGTGGACCGAGCCATGCCCAACTGCTGAGAACGGCGTTTGGGATGTTCTTGGGGACCTCTCAACACTGGCTCGTACGGCAGCGATATTCTCGGCCGATCGCCTTGGTCGACTTTTATATGGCCTCTTCGGATTAGAAAGAGCCTTACCAGTCGACAATTTTTCGTATAAACGCTTAATGGTGTTCTTAGAAGTCGCATTTCATTCTCACATTTTTTAATGTTTTAAAAGCACGTTGAGTTTTCACAATTGACTTCTTCTGTTGAATGTAAATTTCAACTATTTCAGAGCGCTCGCGTGGCGTGACGTGGTTCATGGTAAAAATCTGCTTGGACTGACGCTTCAAACACGGTATGTCATTAAGCGATGTGACATCTCTGTCAAAAGTTACGGGACCGAACATTTGTTTAATCCTCATTGAATTATACTATGATAAAAAATATGGACTTTATGGGGTCTCCAATGCACAATTTAAATGGCAAAAAAAAAAATAATTCCCATCTTACAGTAATCGGAGTAAGAGAGTAATTATCTTTGACTATTCTGAAATCATCCTGTCTCAATAAATTCCCTTCTTACGGTAATGGGAGTAAGAGAGTAATTATCTTTGTCTATTCCGAAATCATCCTGCCTCAATTATGAGGTGGAAAAACTAAATAACACACAGAGCGGTATTCTAAACGTTGGAAATATAAATTCCAAATTATAGCTCATTTGAATGGAATATGTTGCTAAGCTCTTTACAATACCAAAAATTAAGCTGAGTTTTCACATGGGGTATTATAGATGTTCTATTTCACATTTTTAACACTCAAACTAAAGCCTATGGCTGAAAAATAAGATCATGCTATTTAGAATATATAAAATTGACGGTAGGTGAACACATATTATAATTTTTGCCATCAATATTTATTTCTATTTAGAAGTTACTGTAGAGTCATTACTTATAATAAAAATTGTGCCACTTACATAAGTCAGATCTGTGCTTTATTATGCTTTAACAAATATGCATTAAAGACTGAAAGAACGGGCCGGCAACACGGACCTCGCCGGATAGTTGTTTATAAACATTTTATAATTTTTTTGGTTCCTGGTCTAGCAAGGAGTATAAATTTGTCATTTCCAGCAGTAGGCTAGAATGCAGGGAAAATATGACTACCCAATTTTTGGGAGACACATAGACCCACAAGAAAATTTTCTTGCATGAAAGTTTCTATGGGCTGCTAAACGTGGTCTGCAATGTACATATTGCAACTTCTAATTAAATACATCTGCTTAATTGTTATCAATTAGTTAGCTGTTGTCCAAATATACCATTAAATATAATTTTAAATGAGAGACAAACAATGTATCCTGTCTGGTATGTACAACATTGTTTCCTTCATACTCGATACCATTGAAATTAAATTACATTTTCAGAAAAGTTTTTGTCTTGCAATTGAACTAGCTGGGAACGCTGTGCACTTGCCACTTCTAAACTTTTGTGTATTTCACAATTTAATAACAGCCAATTTAACAACAATTTTAATAGGGGTAATTACTTCTAGCAACAACAGGAACTAACTAATAATCGTGCGGTCTGCAGTGAAATTTCTTTTACCTTCATCTATGGTAGAATAGGTAAAAGAAAAGTGTATGGCATATGAGACATTTTATAAAAAGTGTACTACTATGTTTAAGGTATAATTATGGAATATCTAACTTTTGTTTAATATATATGAAAACGACTTGTTGCAATCGATGAACGAACGTGTGTGTGTGTGTGTATGACCAAAGTCCTTGATAATACCGGCTAAGAAGAGACAGGAAAATTCATAAAATTGCAACTTAAATACCGCTCAAGACGGTATTACTCATGTCTATGGCAGGGCCCGTTGTAATAGCATTTTAAATGGATTGCGGAAAGAAGGAGAGAGAGAGAGAGGGAGTGAAAAAGAAAAGTGCAAAAATTCCCTCTTAAGGTCGGCTAAAATTGAATTAGACATGCAACATGCAACGCTCTAACACACATGCTATTACCAACCTCTTTGTACACATATCAGCTTGTGAAGGAAGCACTTTGTGTGGTGTATGTATGGTTTTTTTTTTGTGTATTAAGGTGTAGTTACAAGGGAAAATATTCCTAGAGGTGTTTAAGAAAAAAGGTCTGAAATTCCTTAGAGAGTTGTTCACTGTTATTGCCACAATGAAGGCAAAACAAAATTTTTTAAAGTTTAAAAACGGTTTTACACAATGTTGAAGACATTTCATATGATATCATCTCGACGAGGATTAAAGCTTTTTGATATGACAATTTCGCCTAAAAGAAAGCTCTTTAATTTTCCAGTATCCTGGAGTAAAAGTGATAATTACTGATGGACTTTACCAAAAAACACAATAATAATATATTCCAAGCTACCCGAAAGTTTCAACTAAGAACTTGGTTTGTAGTAGTTTTGTAAGTATTTGTATTCGCCAGGAGGAAATCAACAAGCATTGAAAAAGAAAAACCCAAATTTCTGATAAAATTCTGTGGGAGGCATATATGCTACTTTTAGCATTACTGGTAATGACAATCACGTATACTCCAATATCCCAAAAATAATGTCTATTACATGTACTCTGCATTACCAACCGAAAGATATTGAGTTATTCGTATAATGTTTTTAAAATGAATTATGGCGAAGTTAACCCCAAAATCAACACTATCGTTTTTACAATTGAACTACTGCGTTTTTATCCCTATTGCCTATGTTGAAGTAATTCCAAAATTTACTTAATAATCCCATTATTTGGTAATGAGATTTTTTTTGCTTGGCTGTTTTTAAAATTGTCATGGGAACTCCAAATACCAAATTACAGACAATTCGATTTAAGGGTGTTGCGAGATCTATTAAAATACAAAACATTGGAATGTACCCATCGAAGGCAAATCTTAACGTAAACCTATTTTGGCAATTTTTCTTTAGATGAGATTCAAGTACCAAATTTTAAACAAATTCTCTGCAAATTACAACGAAAGCTTTCAAAATAGGAAATATCGAGAGATTTCCTTATATGGGGCTATGGCAAAACGTAATTGTCTACCTTTAAAATAACTTAAATATTCAAAATAATCAGGACATACCATTACAGGGTGTGATAAAAAAACTGCAACAAAGTCAAACGCTATAATTTTTACATTTTTTTTTAATTTTATTGAATGAAAGCAAAAAATCTCGGAATTGCATCAAATTTTAGAATAAGTTTAGATTTGTTCGAATTTGTCAACTTTGGCACGAATTATGGCCTTCAAAAGGCCAATGAAACCGTCACACGCTGCCCGAATGTTGCTCTACGGTATTTTGGCCCAATCCCGGCGGAGAACTTGCTTTAGGTGATCGACACTTTGGTATTTTTCAGTGCCACCTTAAACCAAACCAAAATACTCCGGACACAATAGTCCAACGGATTGGTATCCGGAGATTTTGGTGGCCATTGTGCGCTGGAAATGAAGCGAGGAACCTCATTTTGTAACCATTCTTGAATGACGTGTGCGGAGTGCGATGGTGCTGAGT